TATTTGTACTATATGAAATTATATTTTAGATAGGATTTTGATTTTAAAAAAATTTAGACTTTTAAAAAAATTCTAAAATATTTCAGATTTTACAAAATAATTTTGTTTGACATTACTAAATATAAGTAAAATTTTATTAAATATAAAAAATAAAATTATTTAAATATTATAAAAATTATAAATTTTTTATTTTATAATAAAAAGTTTATTTAAAAAATTTGATCTTAAGTTGTTTAATTTTTAAATTAATATTATTAAATTAATTTAATTGATATAAAAAAACAAAAAATCTAACTGATCAAATTTAAATAGGTTTAAAGTTAATTTTTCAAATAAAGTTAATAGTACACTATTAATTACATTATTTGAAGAATATTTATAATTACAAAAGCTTTTAGCAAATTATAATAGAAAAGATATTTATAATACAGATGAAATTGATTTATTTTTTTTAATAAAATTAAATTAAATATTAAGCATAAGTAAAGTTTCTTATTAAAAAAAGATAAAGTATTTTTTTTTAAAAATATATATTATTTTTTATTAAAATAAAAATTAATATTATCTTGATTAATCTAGAATAAAAATTGTATTTCAATTTTTTAGTATATATTAATTTTACTGATTTACATAAGTTATCTTTTTTGTAATTAAAAAATTACTTATTTCACACTACTTAAAAAAAATTAATAAATTAGTATTTTTTATAACCTATTATATTAATTTAAAGACCTAGATGAGATTAAATATTTTATTAAGTAGCTTTAATATTTTAATAACAAATTTCATTTAATAAATCAAAAAATTTATTATTAATTAATAATATGAAATCTCATTTTAATTTAAACATACTTAATAAAAATAATAATATTAATAAAAGTAAATGATAATAATAATAAAAAAAAAGTAATTGTTAAATTATTTCATTCAGTTCAAAGCAGAAAAATTACAAAAAATAAGTTAAGACAAATAAAGCAAACAAAAAAACTAATAAAAACCTAAAATTAAACTTATTAATATAGAATATGTTTATTTATTGCTTAGTATAACAGTTTATTTATAACTTATAAATGCAAGAATCATTATAACTTTAAAGTAAAATATAAGTGAAAATTTTATAGACATTTAATTAGCAGTTTAATAAAAAATAAATTAGAAAAAATAAGTTTATTATTTTTAATTGATTATTTTAAAATTAAATTCAATTAATAATTCTTAAATTTTTAATTTATAGAAATAAGTTAAATATTAAAGAAGTTATTGACTTTATTATTACATTATAAAATAATATTACAAAAAAAAATATTTAAAATTGTTAGCTTAAACTGATATTCTTTTATCTATAAATAAAATCATAAATGATATTAATAATATAGATTTAGTAAATTATACAAAATCTGATTTTGAAAAAATAGAGTATATTTTTGATAATTTGTCAAAAGTAGCTAAAGTATAAAAATATTTGAACTAACTTGATTTTCTAATTTTAATAAAAGAATATTTATCTTATAAATCTTATATAATTTGAAATAAAAGGTAAATATAAAAAAAATACATTAGATAAGAAAATACAATTAATAATGATAAAATAAATAATCAATAATTTAAAAACTTTTATTAAATTTTTTGACAATAAGATGATATCTTTAAATTTAATATTAATGAGTTACATTTTTTTTAAAAATACTTTTATATAATAAAAATTATAGAAATAAAATTAAAAAGTAATGTATACTTAATAGTTTTTGAGTAATTAATAATAATTTAATTAATTTTTTTAGATAATAAAAATAGCTATATTTTAGTATTAATTAAATTTGATAATATTAAAATTAATTATGTCAATTTAACATTTATTATTAATTATTAATAAAATAATTATATCTATCAAAATATAATTTAATTAGTAATTTATTAATTTACGATAAAGTATAATAATATTATAATTATATTTTATAATAAATATTGATATAGATTATAAATAATACAATTTTATTTTTTTTAATAATTTTAAAAATTATAATTATATTTTTATACTTTTTATATATTTATGACTATATAAGAAACTTTTGCTATAAAATACATCTCTTTACAATCACATAATTTAGTAAAAGAGATGATTATATTTATTTATAACAATTAATTGTTAAATTTAATTAAAATTTTAATATATTATAAATAATAATAAATTAATAATATATTAATTTAAATTATTAATTTTTAAATAATTTGATAATAAATAAATTATATAAATATTTTATTAAAATTTTAATATTTAGTATTTATAATATATTATTATCTCTTAAAATATTTTAATATCTAATAATTATAAAAAGATGAAATAAAATTTATTAGATTTATCTTATTAAAAAATATTTAATAATAATATTTTAATTTTTTAAAATTAATAATTATCAATATACATGTATATTAATTTTTTAATTTTTTAATTTTAAATATATATTATAATAATTATTTAAAAATAAAATTTAGTTTATTAGATTCATTTTATTAAAACCTATTAAATAATAGTATTTTTATATTTTTTAAAATTAATAGATAGCAAGATATATATATAAGTTTAAAATTTTAATTTTTTTTATAATAATTTATTATTTATTTATCTTTAAAAATTACCAGTTAATTACATTTTTTTTTAAAATTTTATTTAGAAAATATTATAAAATTTATTAAAAGTATTAATTTTTTTAATATTTTATTTTAAAATATTTAAAATTAATTAAAAATAATTTTAATTAATAAATAAAATTACTTATAAATTTGTAAGCAAAATAATTAAGAGATATATTAAAATTTGGTTTAATTAAATTATTAAATAGGATTTTTGCAATAGAAAAAGAAGAAATAGCTAGAAAATTAAAAAATGAATTAATATTAAATCTGAATATATTTTGATCTAAAAATCATATTTGATATATAAAAGTAAAATTAATTTTTTGATGGTTTCTCCTCTTTTTATTGCAAAGATCACAAATATTAAAATAATTAATTTCAAATAGTAATTAAAATTTTAATTAAAATTTGTAATTATAAGATTTTTTGTAAACTATTATTTATATTATATTTTAATAATTACTTATTAAATTAAGCAAAATTTTTTATATTATAAAATGAGATATTAATAATATATAAAAATTTGGTTTATATTGAATTAATAGTAGTTGAGAAATTTAATTTTAAAAATAATATTTGAAACCTTTATCTGCTTTTTATAATATTTTTAAATTTAAAAAAGTAAATATAATTCTAAAAAAAAGTATTAAGATACTGTTATTATATATACATATATTTTTAATATAATTTAATTAATATTAGTATTTATAATGCAAATGTTATGTAAGATATTGATTATAAAACATAAAATAAAAATATAATCCTTATCTTATTGAAAGCTTTCTATTAATCTATATTTGATAAAAATTGAATTATTGTATACCAAAATAATTTAAAAAAAATTGTGAAATTTGTTGTATTTTGATATTATTTTTAAAATTTATAAATGCATAATATAAAGTAGATTCAAACAATAATAAAATTAATTCAATAAATGCATAGAAGCTTATATTGCATAATTATATAAAAATTATGCTTAGATACCTTACTTTAAGGTAGTGTATATGGTAGTAATTATTATTTAGTAAAATTATAATTATAGTAAAGAAAAAATATAACTATAAAGTTCTAATAAAGTAATTATTATTTCAAAATATTAGGACTGTTCAATTTTGGTTGAAGCAAATTTTGATACATCAAATGGGAGGGTTCTAGAAAAATCAGGTTCCGAGAAATTTTTGACTAAAATTAAGAGCTTAATACATTTTAATCTAATAACATCAAAAACTAAAATGCAATAAAAATCTCAATTTTGCTAAAAAATTCCCGGAACCTGATTTTCCTAACAAATCAACACTGATGCATGTGATGCAAACTTGAAAATCGGATTTTGATTGGCTAATTTTGAGTGCATCAAAAAATCCATCAGAATTGAACACCCCTATTGGAATAAAGATTATATGATATTTTTAACTAGTCATTCCAGATATACGAAGTCCGTGTTAATTTTTCACCATTCAGCTTCATGGAAAATTTATTAATTATTGTCATAGCAGACCTTCATTGTTTTGTAAAGTTCGTTCTCGGTATAGATCCACATGAGTTCAATTATGTATTTCAAATTGCAACTTACAGTTAGAATTGAACCAAATTTATAAATATTTTAAAGGTTCAAATTAAGAGAAATTGAATTTTTTAAAGGAGTGTTAATCATTTTCTTTTATGCTATATTATGAAGAAATTACTAACATAATATGCGCAGAACAACTGGAATAAATGCAAGATTCTAACTTTAAGATTTCAAGTTATTAATTACTCACAAAATAACGAATAGGGATAAAATCGTTTATTCTCCTAATAAGATATTTCTAAAATGAACATTAGACGACATAAAATAATCCAAATATAACTTCAGAAATTAGCTTCCATATTTCTTACAATAATTGTTTCCGTTTATCGGCCGAAAATTTTCCGAAATAAAGACAGTTGTTAAGTCAATGATTTTTTTAAAAAAAAAACTCATAAATGGACAATTAGATCAATTGATTCATTTACTGAGATTACCGAAAGCCAAAGATCAAAAAATCAACATCTGATTCGATAATGCTGATCGTAATTAACATCATTTCTATTTTTGATAATCAGTGTTTACAAATGTTGATAATCGTGTAATCACATACGCAAAGATCAAGATCTTCTATCACAAACGGTGAAAAACGTGAATAATTGCCACGCATGATTATCTCACAGATATCGCCAAAAAATTATCATCGGTATTTTGCGGCTATCCATCTCATTTAAAACGAAAACCTAAAAAAAAAAGATATAAAAGAAGGAAAATTATTTTATCAATTGAAACTTCATTCCTTTCATAATTCCTTTAATATCACATTTATCATTAACATTTTATAATTTATAAAAAAAAAATGTCAAAAGGTCGCGTTCTTCTAGCTTATTCTGGTGGTTTGGATACTTCTTGTATTCTCGTTTGGCTCATTGAACAAGGATATGATGTCCTTGCTTATATGGCCGATGTTGGTCAAGAAGAAGATTTTGAAGAAGCTAAAGAAAAAGCTTTAAAGATTGGTGCCAAGAAAGTTTTTGTTGAGGTAAATGATCATAATAAATAAAATAATATTTCAAAGATTTGAATTTTTTGTTGAATTAAATTTTAATGATATTTATATAGGACTTAAGACGCACTTATGTCAATGAACTCATTTTCCCTGCTATTCAAGCTAATGCAATTTATGAGGTATATTATTATCATTATCATTATCATTATTTTATAGAATCATGTTTCATCTGATCTTAACACATTTGTTTATTATTAGAACGTTTATCTTTTGGGTACTTCTCTCGCTCGTCCTGTTATTGCTCGTCGTCAGGTAATTTATATTATCCTTGATTTTTTTATAATAACATTGACAAGTAATAACAAATTCAATTATCTATCTATAGATTGAAATTGCTGCTCAAGAAAATTGCCAATTCGTTTCTCACGGATGTACCGGCAAGGGTAACGATCAAGTTCGTTTTGAATTGGCCTATTATGCTTTGAAACCAGATATTAAAGTCATTTCTCCATGGCGTATCCCTGGTAAATAATTTAATAATTGAATTCACGCAACATGTTTCTTGATATCAAAAGAAAAATAAAAGCTAATGAAATTAAAAAAATTTTTTTGATTAACCTATAAAAGAATTTTATACCCGTTTCCCTGGTCGACAAAGTCTTTTAGATTATGCGGCTCAAAAGAACGTACCAGTTGTTCAAACTAAATCAAAACCATGGTCAACAGATGAAAATTTGTAAGTTCTTAATAATTTAGCATTGAGGAATTTAATATAATATTATCTCCTTCGTATTTCTGATTCGAATTTTTTTGATCTTTTATTAGATTCCATATCTCCTATGAAGCTGGTATCTTAGAAGATCCTAATGTAACACCACCAAAAGACATGTGGAAGTTAACCGTAGACCCGGAAGAAGCACCAGACACACCTGAACGTATTACCATCACATTCAAACATGGTATACCTACCAAGGTCGTAAATCATAATGACAACACCACAATAACCGATTCTCTCGATCTTTTTATCCACCTTAATATGGCTGCACGAAGAAACGGTATTGGCCGTATTGATATTGTTGAAAATCGATTCATTGGCATCAAGAGTCGAGGTTGTTATGAAACACCCGGAGGTACCATTCTTCGAGCAGCCCATGTCGATTTGGAAGGATTGGTCCTTGATCGTCAAGTTCGTGCGTTGAGAGATCAATTTGTTACGCCCCAGTTCTCGCAAATTTTATATAATGGGCAGTACTTTTCACCTGAACGGGAATTCTTGTCTGCGTCGCTTATAAGCAGTCAAAAATCTGTGAATGGGGAAGTGAAATTGAAGCTTTACAAAGGTAATGTGATCGTTGAGGGTCGTAAATCCGATACCGAGAAATTATACGACATGGAAGAAAGTTCTATGGATGTTCAAGGTGGATTCAGTCCGGTTGATTCCGAAGGGTTCATTAAGATTCAAAGTATAAGATTGAAGAAATGGGGTGCAAGTGAAAAACTTTTGTAAACTTAATAATAGATTTATTAAACCTATTTCTTTCTTTCAATTGTTTTTTGAATTTAATATAGTTGTAATTTATTTTACTTTAAATTTCCATAGAAACTCGCATGTTTGATACGTGATCATTGTAACGTAAATTTTTTGTACAAAAATACGTAAAAAAAATAAAAATAAAAAGCATTTGTACTCATTTACTGAGATTTGAATGGATGATGTGTACTACACCGATTACGTGCTATTTTCCGTTTGTCCAATAAGGCATGATCATCATTTGATTTCTGAGATGCTTATTATTTGGAATTCTTAATTTTTAAATTATGATAATATTTATATTAGTGAATTTTAAAAATTATAAATTTGACGATTCTGATTTGTGAGATTACTGCGCCATGATTAAAATATTTGCTTTGCCTGTATATTTTTATTAGAAGACATTTTCGTGCTTTTTGAGAAACAATTTACTTATAAATTTGAAAAACAATATTTTCTCACAATACGTAATTTTTATGCCGAACAAGTTTATCAGAAGCTTTTGTGAACGATCAGCCGATTTTCAAGTTCTACGAAAATTTTCAGTGAATCACAATCAAAACATTCTTTGATTCCCCTAGATATGCAAACCACGGACAATTCCTATCTTGTCCCAGTTATATTTTTAAAATAACCAATTTTTTTTATTTTGGGTTTTTTTTTTTTTTTTGTGTAAAAATAAAACGCGTTCTCATATTTTTAAGAAAATTCCCAATTATCCAAATACCATTTTAAAACCCGAATAGATAATTTGTTGTCCAATTATTTCGATAAAAACAGAATTTTATAATTATACAAATTCATTGTCTTCGAAAAGATTACTATTATTAAACAAAAATTGTTCGAACTTTATGGTTATCTCGAGAAGCACACCACACCTAAAGAGTTCATTTTTTTGATCTTATTGTCCGCTTCTGATTGTTAAAAGCAAATAGAGGGCTAATTTTTTATTTATAAACAAGTAGAAAAAAAAGGTCAAGTATAGAGAAGTGTGAAGACTTGCACGGCGAAGCAGCTCAACTCGCCGAAGCACGTGCTTTAGATCATCGGTCCCGGATTTCGAATGTTTACTGTGGTGCATCAATTTTCGAAATGTCGGTTTTGTTTGTTTGTTTGTTTAATGCTTCAAATTGTTGTTTTTATGTAAATACTGTAATAAAAAATATAGAATAAAATGTCCGAGAAAATTATCCAATTTCTTATATTTTATAGATTGATTGGGAGCTTCGAGATATTTATTATGGATTATATCAGTTTTTTTAGTTAACTGCGCCGTCATTACTATTTTAAGTAATTGGCGTGGGGTCGCGTTATGGGGCGTTTTGAGATAAAAGAAATCGCTTAGATACCGAAAAAAAACTTAGTCACACAATTCAAAGAAATGGAATGATCCGTTATGAATAGTTGCACTAAAATCCTTCTAAGGCATTCTAAGAGAATTAAAGTTCGCCCCGTAAAGTTTTAAATTGGTATCATACGAGGAGATTTATATCATACTATAAAAATATATATTGTACGAGCAAATTCAATTGTCTTGATTCACAACCAGTAAATTTAATTCGATTATTAATAGGATGATGCATGAAATGCATTGGGGTGACACATTCTTTCAACTTTACGCACCAATCCATGGATCTCGGACAATGAAAAAATCACAAAATGTAAGTATCAAAAAGCTTGTGTTTAGTTAATTACCATCTATAGAGATCTGTGATCAAAGAATATATTTATAATTCCATTAAATTATCCGTAACTCTCTAACCTCCTTCTCTCTCTCCATTTCACCCTCCTCCCTCTTTATTTTTTTTTTTTTTTTCCTTCTTTAATTTTTCTCATGTTGCTCTTGCATGCAATAAGGAGACGAGGTGAAGGAAGAACAATCTGAAAGAGATTTATAATCGAAATAATAATAATAATATTCACTCATTGTAAAAAAAAAAAAAAAAATTTAATAAATTTGTTCTTTTTTTTTTTTTTCAAACTTGAATTACTGCATTATGCAACTTTGGTTCCTAATATTGTGCATTATAGTTTTCTTAATGTCTTGTGCCAGTACGTATATCCAAGCTAAGAGGCGCGCCTTTATTCTTACTTGTCTTGGTATCACGGGAATATTATTTTGTCTTTCTTTTCTTATCGCTGCCATCTCACTTCCTGAAGATAAAACATTTGAGAATTTGAATGAAAAAGAAGTCGTCATTTGTCACGTTACAGGAATATTACTCGCAATACAAACAATGGCCCTTTTATCTATAGTATTCGCCTTATCAATTGATCTTTTTATTACGTTTAGAATCAAAAATAGAGCAATTAAATATAGTTTCATATTGAAATCTGTCATTATCTTTTATTGTTGTATTCAACCTACCCTATTCATAGTAATAAATATAATTTTAATGTCAATTGAAGGTATTCGAATTATTCATGTAGAGAAAAGTGGATGGTGTAATGTTAGAATGGGAGGAAATCGTTGGGGCGTATTATTCGTAAGAGCGATCCCTCTTTGGTTTATTTCAATTCCCGGAGCATCGATAGCATGTAGGTGTTGATTGAAATAATTCTACCATGTGTTCAAATAGGTTAGTACGATTGAAAGTACGGGACGAATTTTTTTTTACTGCTCGACAAATGATTCCATTTGACGCGTCATTTATAAAAAAATTTCGTTTTAATTTTCAATCGTACCGAGATTTTGATTTTTTATTATTAAAATATTTGTCTGAAAAAGAATCCTTGGGAGAAAGAAGAAAAAAAAAATTTTTTTTTCAATAAATTCGCAATATGAAGATTAATTAATTGACGCGTTTTAATGAAAATCAGGTGCCGCCATTCTTCCTTCTGCAAAGACAATTATATCTCGCAATAAGAATCGGGAATCTCGAAGTCAATCCACAATGTCTTCACGGAATCGTACCTCCAAGGAATGCTCAAATGAAATTGAACCTCGCCCAAATTCACCAACATCTGCAACATCTCCGGCTCCGGACGGTCCTCCATCTGATTTATCGCCGTCGACATTTCAAAGTACTAATAAGATAACTAATGAGGTCATAATTAGAATGGCTTTATATTGTATTACATATTTAATAATAGGTGTACCATATAGTATATATGGTTTATTTCGATTCTTTGATCATTGGAAGGGAAATAACATTTTAAATAAGGAAGATACGATACTTTCAGATTATGTAACAGCTGGAATTTGTATGGCAACATTAATATTAGTATTTATCATATTTGCGACCAATGACCCATCTATAAAGCAATATAAGCAAGCATGTTTTTGGTGGAAACTGAACTGTTTTCACCCGTTTTATGGATTTATTACAAGGTGAAAATATATACATGTTTTTCATCCTTTTTATTTAAATTTTAATAGATTTTGCTAACAGTTTTAATATTTTCAGGCGAAAAAAAGATTCAATTCATGTAGATATAGTCAGGAATGTAGAAGCAAACGTGACAAAGGAGTCTAGAGAAAGTATTACCTCAAGAACAGTTTTACCAGAAGAAAATAATATTTCTTCAAATGAAGCACAAGAAAATATAACGGTTGTGGTTTCAAGTAAAAATAGTATAACATCAAAACATAAGAAAAGGTGGTCAATCTTGACTGCTTCACAAGAAAGTTTGGTTGAATCAGAAAGAGCGGGGAAAAAACGTCGATCAACCGAGGGCACATTAACATTTACTATAGATGAAAATTCATCTCCATTGTTTAAACAAAAAAAAAATCTACATACTCATAATTCGTCAATGTCTTCAACATCAATTTATTCGTCAGCTACCGCTATAGCGATAGAACCTTCTGAAACTTTATCACCACAAAGTAATAATGATCCACCTGATAAACCAACAGCTATTCCAATTTGGGGAGGACTTTCTCCTGCACCAAGACGGAATTCACCCCATTTTAATCCATTAAGAGATTATGAAGTTAAAGATGATGATGTTACTATGAAACGATTGTCTTCACCACAAATACGACATATTCAAACAAATCCACGCCTAACGGCTTCCGCACCAACATCACCAACATTACTACAAAATCGTTCACGTTCACCGCCTGGATTAAATTATATGAGAACAAGCAGAATGTCAACCGATCGTTATAATTCACGTAGACCTACGTCTCCATTACGTAGGCCTTCGTCACCAATTACAAATAACAGATCATCTGGTAGTTCTTCGACAAATCATGTCGCTGGTTCTCAAGGAACACCTACAAGTACGCTTGAAGATATGCAAGATGAATATGAAGATGATGGAACGGATCCCTTTCCATCATTACTAAAGTTAGGGAAAACCTTTAATGATGATATAGGATCCTGGAGATCTTCAAGTCCATTAACACTTGGTTCAAGGTCCATCAGAATGAGTAATAGTGGAACATTTAATTCAAGGATATGGGACAGACCGGACACGGAAGCTATAAGCATAATATCATCATCCGAAACTATGGGTTCGCTAAGAAACTCAGGAAATCTTTCCAGAAGCGGTAGTTTACCGATAGTGAATTATGTTAATGGTAATATTAGTAGGATCGAGAGTCAAAAAAAATGATAAAAATTTATTAAATTTATTATTATTTAATTTGATAATTTGATAAGAGCATTATAAGTAATAATATATTATTAAAAAGGGTTGCGCTTTATTTATTATTTGGATAAATACAAGTGAGAGGTGACAAAATTTTATGCTTATTCATAAAAACTATTCTTTTTTTATTTTTTAATCATAACCACGACATCATTATTTTTTTTTTTTTTTTTTTTTAAAAGGTATTATTTATTATCGTAGATATTTCATTGTTTATTTTATTATATTGGCTAAATGCCACCATTTATATAATATTAAAAAAAAAGTAGCATTTAATAGACGGAAAAGGAAGGGAAGACAAAATATTTTTAAATCAATTTTTTTTTTTATTATTTTGATACACCATTTCATTCTCCTTCCTTTCTTTTTTTCTTCTTCATCTTAATTTCCTTTCAACCTTGTAAATTTTTCAATACATTTATATATATTTATACAGTATATATGTCAGTTTAAACGAATTATTTTTCATCACTTTTTTTTTGATCAATTCCCTTTTTTTTGTATAATTTTGTATATGTGTTAAAATATTTGGAAAATTTTTTTATTTTTATTAATGAAATCGTCACACGGATAACATGAATTATTGTTTTTTTATTATTTGAATAATTTTGAACTTACATAATTTAACAGCATAATAAAAAATATTTATATAGGAGTGTAAGGTATCAGACATATAAACCAATTAGTTAGTAATACAAAATTATAAGGCATATATAAAATGAATATATATTTATTATAAAAGAAAAAATAAGATTAATCTTATAAATTCAAAATTATACAAATTAAATTACTGATTACTAGATAAATATATTTAATATATATTTATTTTAAATTTCAAATTTTTAATTTTATTTATTAATATTTTATATTTAATAATGTAATTTAATGCTTTTAATTTTTAAATCAAAAAAAGTTTTCATTTTACAAATAAATATAAAATTTAAATATTGCTAAAAAAAATTAATAATTTGCATAATATTTATTATAAAAATTTTTTAAATTTATATCTTTTTTAAAAATTTTTTTATAAAAAAAAAAAAGATATTCTAATAAAACAATTATAAAAAGGTAAAAGATAAGTAAAATAAAAATTAATTTATTAAGAAAAACAAAATTTTTAAAATTTTAATATTATAAATTATCTTTTAAAACTATAAAATAAATAAATTACTTACAAATTTTAAATATTAACTTTAATAATAATAATTATATAAAAAATAGAGTTTAATTATATTTTTTTTTCAAATTTTTTACAATAATTTTAATTTTAAAATTAAATTTTAAAATATTTCTTATTCATATAGGTATTTATAGTAAAATTTCAAAAAAAAAAATTTTTAAGTTAATATTAAATATAGACTATTTTACTAAAAAAAAAAAAAATTATATTTAGCTTATAAAATAAAAAAATTTTGTTTAGTAATTTTTTTTCTTTCTATTATAAAATATTCATATGTTTACAAATTAATTAATCATTTTATTACTAATAAAAATTATAAAATTACTTAATAAATATATGTATCATTAATATTATTATTAATAAAATTTAATAATAAAATTTTTTTAAATTACAAAATTTTTAGTTTATAAATAATTTTATATTTTTTTTATTATGTAATTAAAAAATTTTTTTAAAAAAAATTTAGTAGACAAATTTAATTATAAACTTATGATTTAAGAAATATTATATTTATATATATTTTTTAATAAAATAAAATAAAAATAAAGTAAAATCTTTACAAATAAACAAACAAATAAAATGTAATCACGTGATGCCGGTGATACAATGTAATTTCTATAAAATATTAATTTTTTTTCTTATTAATTAAGAGCGTCCTTATCCTAGACCCCTGGTTCAGGGTGAAAATTATAGACCCCCAGGGTCTAGGCAAATTAACTTAGACCTCCCTCCTTTTTTAGTAATTCCAAAATTGGTAGATAGATTGGAATTTTTTTTTTTTTTTTTTTCTTTAAAAACGAGACAAAAAATGAAACTAAATTTAATAAATAAAATTAAAAACAAGAACGAACAGTTTTACTTAAAATTTCTGGATAATACTGTAGATGAATATTGATACTTTAATGAAATTAAAAGACAAGACTTCATATTTATCGCTTATATATAGTACTGAATATATTTATTGAAAACTTTAGCGGGATTAAGGGTGATTTTGCATTCAACATTTATGGACAGTACTAAAGATGATATATATTGGTAAGTTATAATATTTTAATGGTGGGTAAGGGCGGTCTTTTTAAACGAGCAATTAAAGCATTTCTTACTTAATTCCTATTAAAGAAAATATTAGATTCTTTAGAGGTAATGTACAATTTAATCTTTAAATTAGTTTTCTAAAGGAAAATTTGTTTGTTTATATACATAAAAATACGTTAACACTTTCATTATTTTATTTATATAGTTTTGTTTTTGAAATATTTTATTTTTCTTTTAAAATCAAAAAATTACATTATATAGAATTTATTGTATATATGCATTATATTTTATTTTTTTTATACTTAATAAATGTATATTTTTTTTTAATTAAATAATAAACTACGAATCATCTTAAAATTATTATTATTATTATATTTTTTTTTTTATACAATAACTTGTAATCCGGTAGCAATAATATTAAAACAAATATTTTACATTTTTTAAATAATTAGTTAAGCAAATATAAAAATCTTCAAAATTTTTAATTTTAATTTTCACAATTATCATCATGAACATATAAACCAAAATCAACACTATCAATCATTATTTCTTTTGCATCATTTAAAGAAATGCCTTTATAATCCTCTGCAATAAGTCTAATAGCAGTTTCAGGAACCAAAACTTGAGATAAGTATTGGGATGAAGATTGCGGAATACAAAGATCTACAGTTAGTATTCCAGTTCGAATAAATAATTCAGTTAAAATTTTTAAGATAATCGCTAAGCCCTTAGGTCCATAATATCCAGGCTAAAAAAAATATAATTGATTAAATTATTTCATATTTTTAAATAAATAT